CATAATGTAGGATAACAATGATCTTGAACAGTTGATTTATGTCACAAAGAATCGAAGACTTCGCATTGTTATAGCTTCCACCTTTACCACATTAAGCTGTAATTCACAGCCAGTTCTTTTCGTCGTTCTCCTTAAAAGATTATTTTCAATTACAGGCAAGACAGACTCAACTGGTCTCCATCAAGGCTGATGTCTTCCGTAGCACATATCGATAAATCGCTTCATATTCTTCCCAACGACTCACCAGTATGCGTGCTCGACTGCGTTGACGCTTTCAAAGGTGCTTCTTAATGTGCTTTTTGCGTTTTTTGTTGCTTACTTTTTACGCTTTTTGCGTTTTTTGTTGCTTACTTTTTACGCTTTTTGAACTACTCATGAAATAGATGTTCTTTGGATCGGCTCTTAGTAGGTTGAGCAATCTTGCCAGTGTACCTTCCTCTCGCGAGCAGACCTTTTCTCAGCCTTAAGCATTCCCTTCTTGCCGGGACAAAATCTTAATGCTCGGCTGACCCACCGTTCTTCTTCTGAAAGCGAGCGTTTATTTCTGAGAGAGATATCCGTAATAGTGCACCTCCTACGAATCTGACAGCTCTGCTGCCCTCACGTCCCTTATTGAAGCCTACTGTAATCATCACGCTCGGAAGAAACAGTGATAGAAGGTGGATACTGTGATTTTCCTGAAAACGTGAACTTAAGTAGCTTGCTCCTGTGAAAAATTCCGGTTTCGTTATTAGGCGCATAATTTGCTTCTTCCAAGTTGGTCACTATCCTCGACGTTTTACTATTTCCATTTGTTGATTGGATAAGGGCTTTCTTAAAATAAGTTTGTAAGAGGTAGCGATCCGAAATCCGTTTATTCCTATTCCAGCATTATCGAAAAAAGAAAAGGAGTATGCTCATTATTTGAGCAAAGCGTCGTTTGACGGAGGTCTGGCTGTATTTCTACAGGTCATTTCACCTTTCGATGTTTCAGCTTCGAATTTCTTATAATGTAGCATTTTGTAGGTTTCACCTGAGTCAGCTGGGCTTTTCGTCACGTTCTATCGTATGTTCAAGACGGAAACCATTGAAAAACTCAAAGGTATGACCTCATTATCTTGTGCTCATCAAGCGCAGTTCTCGTACTTCATTTTGAAGAGAAGGCTGAAAAATGTGGTTTCACTGAGGAGGAATGGAATGGTTTTCTGGTGTACGTCGCTGGGTTCTATTTCAATAGTGGAAATTATCGTGGTTTCGGCGACACCAAGATTATACCAGGCGTGGATGTTGTGAGATTTTCCTTCCTAAAAAATGTTCCTTTGTTGTTTTTCGAAATATGCTGTTATGGTGTGATATTCAGGCCAAAATCGATGCGCTCGTACAGTTCTCAGAAGCTAAGAAAACGTCGCCTTCATTCATTGACACCTGGGAAAGAGTGAAGCCTCTGATCACTTCACTGCAGGAGGCCCAAACCCATTTGGGGTTCGGTAACGAGGTGCGTGCCAAACCAGCTCTTCAACCGTTAGCCTCGCGATTTATCTATTGGAGTTTTCATGACGAAATGCATCACTTCAAGTAACTATGCTGAAGTTGCTTCTGAATTTCACTTATTCAGGGAGTGACCTGTTATCACAGTGAAAACGTGACCAAAGAGGATGCTGAAAGGATAGATAGGTACTTCAAGGTATTAATAGTAAAATATGCATTTATTTATGAAGCCATTAATGACCGAACCTGATTTTTCCGAAAGGCAAAATTTGTAGGCACGCAAAATTGAACCGTGGAATACTAGGCTCTTCAAAGATCATGATGCAAAGCAGGGAAAGACTGTTTATCGAGTTAAACTAGCTAGTTCCAAGACAGGTTTGTTCTACTGCAGTTTATCTTCAACATTTCCAGCGCCTACTTTACTCTCTTTCTTAACGAATTGATGTATTTCATCATTTTGTAGATGGAGCAACAGAGGAAGAGTTCGAAGATTTTATTGTGGTAACAGAGCGCGGTGATTATTCTCCTCTGATGGCAAGAGCAAGTGCTTCCTTGAAAAAAGTGATTCTGAAGATTTGAGGCATACTTTGTAGTTGTTATGGTTCCTCGACTTAATATTCTCGAGAATTGGTTGGACTAATTTGTGTGTCTTTTTATGGAACAGTTCTATTTAAGGCAATAGATTCGGCTGCTAATGAAAACCAGAAGGAAATGATCTCGAAATATGTGGAGCATTTCACGGAAGGCGATATCAAGTTCCATAAGGTAAATATGTACTTTTAAAGCTACAAATAATTTTCCATTTCTCGTCAGTTAAAACAATGGTTCTGAGTAAGATGTTCTGGACTTCTTTGATTTAGGACGGTTCCAGATATTGGATTAAAGATGTGGATCCTGTTATCGAAAGCTACATTGGTTTCATTGAAAACTATAGAGATCCGGCGGGAACTCGAAGCGAATTCGAAGGTACTAATTCGGTTTCTTGAAGAACTGGATAGGAACGGGTTAGGGCAAATCCACAAACTAGTCAATTACAGTACCAGTCGAAATTGAATTACAATATTTATCGTTGTTATTTTGAGCAGATTTACGTAATACAGTTAGCGCTAAAGCGCAGAATCGGTAAACTTTCAATCCATGGTCGCTTTACTTTCAGGATTTGTGGCGTGCGTAAACAAGGAAACTTCGAAGAAGTTCAAGATGCTTGTGCAGAGAGCGGAAGAAATCTTGAAGAGGTTACCATGGGGTAAAGCGTACGAGAAGGATCACTTCCTCAAGGTGAGCCTTTGGATATTGCCCAATTGTCCACCATCAATTTCCTCCTCATTTCAGCCTGATTTCACAGCCCTGGACGTTTTAGCCTTCGCCTCTAGTGGCATTCCATCTGGAATCAACATTCCCAATTGTGTGTAGTTATATATTGTTACGGCTCATTATAAATTAAATGCACAATTTGTCCTCTTTCAGATGACGATATTCGGCAGAACGAGGGCTTTAAAAATGTTTCCTTAAAAAATGTTATTGCTGCCACACCAAAGCAGAAAATGAATTTCCTCGATCAGGAGGATGAGGTATGATGTTTAAATTAATGGCATCTGCAATTTTTCAAGGTTAATGCTTTTATGTTAAGGACCTATTCCACAAGTATCACACGGATTCCTTTGAAGTTCAAGTTGGCTTGCACGAATTGCTCGGTCATGGTAGCGGAAAACTGTTCCAAAAGAATGCCGATGGAACGTTCAACTTCGATAAAGGAACCAAAGACATAAATACTGGCAATCCGGTCCGTGAGCTGCTTACTTAGTGCAGGAACAAAATAAGAACTACTTTATTTCTCGCCTTTTCTTTTTCCCATTTTCTCGTCATGAAAATTGGGGCAGGTAGAGAGACACTGGCTTTTATTTTTGTTCCATCTCATTCGAATTGATGGGAAAGAATTTTCATCTTTAGATTGCAAAGTGGTATGAGCCTGGTGAGACATGGTCTTCGAAATTCGGAGTGCTTTCTAGTGCTTACGAAGAATGTCGAGCAGAGGCTGTTGGTTACGTACTTTGTTGCGATGCTGATATTCTAGAGTGGGTGCATGAGATTTTCATAGCATTTACTGTTTCCTCGTAAATAAGTGTGATTAATGGCCAAGACGTATCTGTCCCCTATTGTTCCGGAACTCATCGAGTAAAGCAAAACTTTGGGCCGAACCGGGATTCGAACCCGGGACCTCTCGCACCCGAAGCGAGAATCATACCCCTAGACCATCCGGCCGCAAGGGCTGCACTGTCGGCGTTGGTGAAGTCATAACGTCGATCATTTGCTTTGCATTGCAATGCCTTTGTACATATCGTTTTGCTATCTATGATGCAATCTATACTACAAGTGTATTTTGTAGGATTTTCGGCTACACGGGTGAGAAGGCGGAGCTCGTCAAATACGTAAACTGGATGAACGAGATTCGGGCTGGACTGCTAGCTCTTGAATTCTATTCCCCAGAGGCGCAGAAATGGGGTCAGGTGAGGTTTAGTCAACAGAATCCAATAATGCTTTCAAAGAAAGGCTCTTTTATAATGTGTTTATGTAATGTATGGACTGCAAAACTTTCATTGATGTATTCAAAACTGGTTTTGGTGAAATACGCGCATGTCCTATGGCATAGTGGGACTATCATTGACCTATAGAACACAAACCCGAGCGGGTGGTACAGCATGTATAACATGTGATAATTTCATTTTAGAATCTTCCTCAATTAGTTTGAACTTGGTTATTTTTGATTAAAATAAATGGCAAACACGCAGGAAAAGTTCTGGTAACAGGTTCAAGGAAAAAATGAAGACCATACTCTCAGCTCAGCTTGACAAGAAAGTTATGCGACGGAATTTTTTTAAAATCATCTCCACAATTTTTCAAACTTCCTTTCTTTCTCCTTCCTTTCTTTCCAAATATAGGAAATATACTCATAAAAGCGACCAACAGCCTTCTCTTACCCTTTGAACAAATCCCAGATGCTTTTTGTAAAGAAGTCAATAACATTTGATTGAAGTGAATCATTGGCTGCCATTTTCAGAATACTATAAGTTACGAGCTTTTCCCCTCCTCAATGGGATGCTTGAGAAGGTAGAGCGCATGTGATCAAATCATACTATTCATGTCCCATCAAATATGAGACTTTATGCTTGCGTGACTACAAAGGCTAGTACCTCCTGCAGTTAAGCGGTTCACTTTTGTTGATCATTGATCGGCGAACAGTGCTTTCACCGAATAGATCGTTGATAATTTCAGCGGCTATACTTGCGCTTTTCCATTGACGTGCCTAGTGCGAGCTGATAGTACGAATCTGATGTTGTCCAATCATCGATGTTAAGGTTGAGAAGCCCCTTTTGCGCGCCCTTGCTTACAGTGTTGATTGCCCGAGGAATTTCCTTGAAGTCTATCACCCGCTATCGTATTCAAAATTTTTGAGGCTTCTGGTTTTTTGTCGCAGGACTTTTCTGCCAGGCTGAGTAAATTTTGGTAACGATGCAGTAAGCAGTGCTTCTAATTTTTTCGTATTCATTCGTTATTAGCTCAGGCTCGAACTGGTCATTAGCATCTTTCCAGGCTCACTGTTATGCCCGCTTCGTGCTGACGAAAGTCTGCCTTGAAGCTGGCCAAGACTTTGTGACGATCACAGATTGCGTAGGAGACGACGGCAAACCTGACCTCAAATTCAAGCTTGATCGAAAGAAGATAGACTCCGTGGGTCGGCCTGCAGTTACAGAATTCCTGAGAAAACTTCAGGTAAGACAGAAAATTAAAGCAATAGATGTTTGCACCTGTACCAGATTTTAACCGTGAGATTGTCCTACGTCTGCCTGATTCCGAAATAAACAGAATACATAATTGAATCACAAACCTTAAGGCCTAGCCATCGGAAGCTAATAGAGGAGTAAACCTAACTTCGTTCTTCTCATGTAATCGTTGTTCTACTGCTCAAGTGGAAGCCTTCCAAGACCCCTTAACAGTCTTTATCATCAGGATTTCTATAATGTATTGCCTGTGTTTCAATCACCCCCTACATCACAAAATGAATCAGCAAGGTTCCATTGTTATAGGAAAAGAGAAAGTGATTCAGTGGCCTCGCAGTTCGGTGCCTATAGTCAGCCCTTATCAGCAGTGGTCAGATCTGTCCAGCTATCCGCGAGCTCCGCACATACCACTCCCCACGTGAAAATGTCAACGTTCCACGCCCTTTACCCGAGCAGTGGCTTTCACATTCTTTCTCCATTTATCACCTCACATCGCTTCCTTTACACTCACGAATCCACCAAAGCGCAAGGCTTTTTTCACACAAAGGGCATAACTGGTTCTGTGGCACCTGCCTTTGAGGGTAATTATTAACCCCTATCAATACTTATCGGTTCCACAACTTTCAGTGGTTCCATACTGTCGCCTTTGTACTGTCTGAATGTTTACCAAATAGGTTCAGAGGACAGTAGTTACTTCATTTCAGAATTACATGCACATTATTCATAATACGTTGAACATTTTACATGCGCGAGCACCAACAAAAACTAGCCTAGATGCACAAACCTAGCGAGTTCTATGTAGTAGGATATTACAAATATTCTTTATTTATAAGGCCATAACCGATTAGGTTCTATTTTACATACGTTCTCTCACGGATTCGAGGATTGTTCTCAATTTTTATACAAAAAACTTCATTTAGGCTTACAAATCAACTGGAGATTTGGAAGGTGGTACGAAGTTATTTGAAAGCTATGGCAAAATTACGGATCGAGAGCTTCGCTGGCGGGATATCTGTATTGCCCGCCGTAAGCCACGGCGTATATTTGTGCAGGCTAATACGAAAATAAATGATAAAGGTACGCATTCTTGCTACCTCAAATGACCAACCAAGAAACGTGCAGGAAGTAGGTGATGGATGATCTGTTTGGGCCCGCTCCTAATATTGGTGTGCTTTATATAAAGCCTTCTGTTATAGTTCGAAGGTGCATTGATCCTATGCGTACTATATTCAACAGCCGCTGTCGCCTTTTGTTCCCTTTTATTAATGAACCAACTCAATGAAAAAGAAAAATTGCCTCATCATTAGTGGCATATATTTGGATTATGAAGGAGGGATGTTTGGGGACTTTCAGGTTGGCACGCTCAGTTGCATTATTTTCAATCGCAACGGAGCAGCTCACCTCCACCTAATCTTATTTAGTAGTATCCCCAAACATAATTTTTTTTCTAACGTCTACCTGAGCCGTATCGTGGTCTACTTCTCTCGCATACAAAACCCTATCTTTTCAGTTTTCAATCGATCTAGCAATTATTTTTATTCGGGGGTAAAGTATAGTGTTTGATGTTTTTACCTGAAAGATTAAGTTAAGAAAAGCATAAAACAACAAAANATGAGATTGAGTTATTCAGATGAATTTTAGGCGAAGTAGACCTGATATCATATGATTCTACGGCAACGGGCGTGATTCAGTCTTTCATCGATCGTTATGATGCTACAGCCATTGATGATCTAGAGAAATGTTGGAATCTGGATAGTGTGTGGTACCCTCGAGCCTATGGAGCGAAATAGTATACCAGTCGTTTTGCAAAAATAATCGCTCAAATTGTTAAGTTGTCTATTTGTTGATTATTTTCCTCTTGTGAAAATTTCTAGCCTGTTTCATCATTTTCTGACAGTTTCCTCACTCTAAAACTTGTTGTTGTTATCAATTTGTGGAAAGTGGGTCGATATTAAAAAATGCTTATAATGTTATACTCTGTTGTGAAACAATCCTTAGTGTCTGAACAGCAACTTAGGAAGCGTGGTCAACCTGCCATAGGAACTTGAATAGTTACTTAGGTATACTGAGAAATTTTTGAATGCTTCTTATGAAGCGAAACAAAGTGTAATAAACAGTGTAATCACTTAAGGGATAAAGTCTTTTTGGCGGTCATCAATCCCGTGTGAGGGATGCGGCCCGCATTCGATTTCCATTCAGAGTCGTAGTGGCGTAATGAATGCGTAGGTGACCTGAAAAATGGCTTACGGTGGCCAACCGATGTACAAGTCATCAGTGCTTTTATCATCCCAGACGAATCTCTCGATCCGTTCCGGAATCGACCGGCCATACGTCCGTGGTAGTGCGCCACTTGCTACTCCATTGCCAAGCGGGGACTCGGTAGAGTGAGGGATAGAGGTGCCCGTATACGGGTTCGTGTACTGTCCGAGGCCCAAGTTTCGTCCGTAGTTCGCCAACTTTGTTAGACTTTCGCATCACGTACTGCTTCGAAATATCAGCGGGAAAAAACATCATGTTAAGACATATAGACAGATCAAAATAAGACCTCGAGCACGAGTGTAGAGAGAGGACAATATCTCCCGTGCAGTATGCTACTCTGAGGCCATAATTATCCCTGCAATAATTACCATAGGTGTCCAGTCGGTGCTTCTCGAAGCAGAATACATTTACATAAAAACTCAAAATCCTGGATCAGACCTAAACATAGCTTCACGCGGCAACACTTATTGTTAGTCCATTATTTCATTGGTGGGAAACCTTTCCAAAATGGGAGCTTCTTTATGTACATGAAGTTCCCTCGCCTGTAGGATGACAGCACTACCACTACGTCAAAACTCTCTTAATACACCTAGGTATCCATAAAACTTCTATGGTCAGTTAACTCTACGGTGAGTTGCATTCAGTTCACTACGCAAGGGAAAACTATTCGAACGGCAGAGATTTGAAATTAATAGATGCACTCTCCAATCTCGGTACGGATGATTTAGGCCATCGCTATCTTCGGAGAAGCTTCGTCTACTATTAGAGCCGGGGTCATGCGGTGGTGCAAAGGATGGCAGGTAGTTTTGCTGCCCCTTGTGCGCTGTCAACGGTTTCAAGGGCGACGAGGGTGCTGGCGAGAACAGATTTCCATAGGTGTAGCTAGTCGTGGTAAAGGCATGAGGTCCCGCGGAGGGAGGACCGTTAGGAGGAGTTGCAGCAGAATGGCCGCTGTTTTTGCCTTTACCTCGCTGTTTTGAGAGCTAATTAAAGCTCTTACAGGTTTGCCTGAGACAAAAGGGTTGAAAAAAGTCGTAGGGGTCTCAATGTTCGGTATTCGCTTAGCAGCTCTTCGCTTCCTCCAAGAGGGTCCCCTCTTACAGTTCATTACTATGGAATATGGAACACGTGAGAGTTAAGCTTTTTCATGTACCAACAAAGAAAGGCACTCGCTTAGTCTCGCCAGTAACCCAAGCGGCATAAGGAAACCAAGAAACCTTCTGGAACCACTGAAAAAACCTTTGTTTGGTGATGATTCAAAACGACCTGTTCACCTGCTTCGAGTTTTAGTAGCATGGGGCTTGATGGCTGACACCCTTGTCAGGATCGCTTTGGCTGTGGACCATGCCTCAGTACT